CTTAACCCACCGCCGTTTATAAACTTATAAGATTCGTGTTAAACTCTCCCTGGGCCTATTTGTTCCGTCGTCTGGGTTCCTCTGTCTCCCCCTGCAGTTTAACCAATGTGTTGTTTTGCAGAATCCCACGCATGCGCAAATATCCTTTATTACATAGATCGCTCCAAAACATTTCATTTAATTTTAATCGTCTTTTAATTTAATTAATTATACTCCGTCAACATATATTTGATTTATAACTTTACCACATCTCGCCAAATAGTTTAACGTTCACATAACAGTTACTTTAACGATTTTAAAAGAGTCGTGTTCACCTCTCTCTTCCGGTAGCCCTTAAACCCCTGAACAAGAAACCCCAAACAAACATATAACCTTACGCCACCATCTTGTTTCGTCGACCGCATGTCGTAGATTTAGTGCCATAAACCAAAACGTGTCCTAATCTCGTGTCATAAACTCCCCCTTTCTGTAGTGTAGTGTCGCAAAATTAAACGCATGCGCACAACCATTCAAAAATACTTTTCACCGTGGAAGAAAGATTCTCTCTTCTCTCTCCCCAAACAGAAAGAATAACAGCCAGCTGTAACTTCCCATATCCCCCTTATAGTCAAACAACATTTAACAGCGCTCACAAAACATACAACCTGACTTACAGACAGTGACAAATTTAAGAGACTTTAATCCATCGCAATGGAATCTCTAAGGATATCCGTTAGCATGTAGCACGCAACACAATTAACATTCAACCTTAGCAGCTAGCTTAGCCTACGGTACATCGTGACACAAAACACAATTAGCACTAGCATCCACCATGATGTAGCATGATTCACACTTTAGCCCTACAAAAAATTAGCCTTTAGCCTCAAGCCTTAGCCTTTAGCATTTCGCCACGATGTACCACGTGACCCGAACCATACAATCAAGCCTTAGCAACGAGGCACCACGTGGCCTGAAACAATCCAGCATTAGCTTCAGCCTCTAGCCAACTGCGGCCTACTAGCTATACCAATGAACACCCCGCACCGTGGCCAAATCATTGTCTATCAGTAATATCCCCGTCTAACTTTATGCTGCCTTGAAAGATGAATCTCATATCAAGCGGTTATCCCCAAACCAATTTCCCGTCGGCCAGAGGAGGAGTATAACATAAATACACCAATTCACTTCATAATTCCCGCTTAAGAAATCAACCTGCCAAAGCCTAACACTTCACACAGGATTTGTAGCCCACTTAATAATAATAATAATTATTATTACAAGTCGCCTCGTTTCGAGGTCTTTTCCGTATTCCCGGTGCCCTAATTATGCAGATATCTCCCAACATATATTCTCTACTAACCCATTGTCACCCGTTACCAATGAATTATACACGTTCAATACTTAAATCCTACCGTTTAATGCTCTAAATTCCAATTAACTGTCGTTTCCGATGAAATAAATTTAGCAGACTTCAGTCGACCAGCAACAAACACCACCTGAGGCCAGGTCATATGGAACATCCCTTCAATGTACACAAGTCATATCCAATCTAACAAACTCCGAAGCGGTAAGAACACACTCACCCTTTTTCGGCCATGCTTCAGAGAGAGTTAGGCCGGCGGTTGACTGAAACAAAGAGGAGACGCAAACCCATGCCCCACGTTGGGCGCCATTATGTCGTATATGATGAATGGTGGTAATATTGCTGATGAACAAAAAGTCCGTTATGCTGCATCGTGTCAGAAGTTTTTATTCATACCACGAGGTTACAGCATAAATTCACAGACACGCGTTGCCTGGAGAACGCCTCCCAGATTGTTATGGCCGTTCTGTCGTCTCATCGTTTAACTCCTATTTATAAACAATGCAAAGGGAGGGGCTACTCCCTCTTCTGGCCAATCACCAGTCTCCCCTCGGGCGTCACCCTCCAAGCGGCACATTTCAAATAACATCATAAAACATCCCCCCTTTGGCCTGAACAACCAACATTCCATTTCGTCATGAAAAACATTTAACAAAGGCATAATCTTCAGATACGATACTGCTCTGGCTCCAGAGTGGAGCAGCTGACCGGAGCTGGATCAGGCACCGGTGGAGCGGACTGCTCTGGCTCCGGAGTGTAGCCGCTGACCGGAGCTGGACTGGACCCCGGTGAAGCGGATTGCTCTGGCTCCGGAGTGAGGCAGCTGACCGGAGCTGAACTAGGCACCGGTGGAGCGGACTGCTCTGGCTCCGGAGTGGAGCAGCTGACCGGTGCCGGACCAGGCACCGGTGGAACATGCACGGGCCGTGCCGGACTGGACACACGCACCACTGGCTTGGTGCGGGGAGCAGGAACGGGCCGGACCGGGCTGGCGACGCGCACCACTGGCTTGGTGCGGGGAGCAGGAACAGGCCGGGCCGGGCTGGCGACGCGCACCACTGGCTTGGTGCGAGGGACAGGAACAGGCCGGACCGGGTTGGCGACGCGCACCACTGGCTTGGTGCGAGGGGCAGGAACAGGCCGGACCGGTTGGCGACGCGCACCACTGGCTTGGTGCGAGGGGCAGGAACAGGCCAGGCCGGGCTGGCGACGCGCACCACTGGCTTGGTGCGAGGTGCAGGAACGGGTCGGGCCGTACAGGGAACACGCACCACTGGCTTAGTGCGGGAAGCAGGAACGGGCCGGACCGGACTGGCGACACGCACCACTTGCTTGGTGCGAGGAGCGGGACTGGGTTCCTTTATTAACCCCCGCTCCTTCTGCTGCCTAACCAGCTCCTCTCGCCGTGCCTCTTTCCTTCTCCTTTATAGCCTCCTGTAGCGCCTCCCTCTGACCGAATAACTCCTGCTCCCTCTGAACCAATAGCCCCCGTAACATGGTGGCCTCCTCTCCTAACCTGCAGATCCGCCCTTTAACGGCCTCCTGCTGCGTCGTCGTCCACACCGTGTGCCCCCCCCCAAAAAATGTTCTTGGGGTTGCCTCTCGGGTCTCCGTCGTCGGCACTGTTGGCGCCGTTTCTCCTCTCCTACCTGGGCATCCTCCTTCATCGCCTTCCGGTAACGGACGGCCTCCTCCTCCGTAATTCTCCCCCAACCGAGGAGGACATCTACTAATGTCACCTCCTGTTGAATTCCCGGCGTTTGCTCCTGAACACGCTGCTTGGTCCTCGTTTGGTGGGATCTTCTGTCACGATCGTTTACAGACGGGACGGACCAAGGCGCAGCGTGATATGCGTACATGTTTATTTTTCCGAATAAACACAATGACAAAACAACAAACAAAACGTGAAGTCCAAGGTACACAAAACAAACATACCTAACACGGAACAAGATCCCACAACCCACTAGTGCCAATAGGCTGCCTAAGTATGGTCCCCAATCAGAGACAACGAGCTACAGCTGCCTCTGATTGTGAACCACACCGGCCAACATAGATCTACACGATCTAGATCTAAACATAGAAAATGCAACATAGAACATACCACACAGAAAATACACACCCTGACTCAACAAATACGAGTCCCCAGAGTCAGGGCGTGACAAGTAGTCACTTCCTGAGATCTGTATTGGATTTTTTTTTTAAGGACTTGCTTTCTCAGATCTGTATTCAAATTGTTTTAAAAGTAGTTTTTTTCTGAGATCTGTATTCAAATAGCTTTAGAAAGTAGTAATTTTCTGTTTCCCCAGAAAAATAGTTACTTTCCACAAAGCAGTTTAAACTACAGTTATCCCAGGTCTGAATTATACACATTTTGCCATGACTTGTTAATATGATTTCTGAGTGAGTGACTAACAAAATCAGTGGGGGCCCCCTGGAGGTCAAGGCCACTGGGCACGTGCCCTGCGTGCACAGTCGGTAATTCGACCATGATTCATAGAAGTTTAGATAGCTGGCTAGACTAATTTACCAATCTGAAAGATGTTTTGACATGGGATAATTGAGTGCCTGTCAGTGACTGACATAAATAGAGAGAAACTTCTGATGCAAAATCAAATTTTGAAATTGTACCTTGTGTATTCTACCAATCTAACTCTCAACAGTAATGGGTCCATAAGCAGTAGCTTATGCCGCTATGGCCGGCCCTGTTTATGGACATCTGCTGTTTTATCTGACTGGACTGAAGATCGAAAACTGCCATACTGTACACGTCCGTCAAATAAAATGGCGTCTCCACCTCATAGCCAGGTAGTCTCTGGTTAAAGAGTGTCCCTGAGGACGCAGCTATTGAGGCATGATGCAATGACTGACTTTGTGTGTGTTGCTGTGGTGTGTGTGATTCCCTGCATGAGGCCTGCCTGTTATCGCATATACACCTGCTCACACACACCCTGATGTAGTATTGATTTTGGAGCATGGTTTCTGTCAATGTTTATTATTTGGTTTTCCTGGCTGTCCACAGACCTCCATTACGCTTGGTTCTGATGGACATGCTGTGAGTGTGAGCAGAGCGAGGATTGTGGATGGAGAGAGTGGAACTGATTTAGAGAGAGAGAGAGAGAGAGAGAGAGAGAGAGAGAGAGAGAGAGAGAGAGAGAGAGAGAGAGAGCTCATTGCACAATAGATAGTTCACATCAAGATCACTGGACCGATTCCCCGCACAAAGTTAGGTTGAATTAATAGTATTTCTTAAAATGTAATCTTAAAGGTTCATGTTTTCAACAAGGCTACTGTGTGTATTCACAGTGGAGTCACTGAATGTTCATCATTCCCAAAAGCAGTGCTCTCACAGATGAGTGCCACAAATTTGTGCGCAAATATGATGCCTATGTGTTGAGTGAAAGTTTAATTAACTAAAATCCCTTTTTAATGTGGCCAATGTGAGACCTTACATATGCACCACTTACTAAGCTTTATTTTTAATTGTGAATTATACACTGTCTCAATTAGAATTTCAATTATTTTTAGAGTTCCATCTTTTCCATTTATATTATTTAGCGATTTATCTAACGTTAAAGGAAAATGACAGTTAACTGAGACTGCAGATACACAGATTGAACAGACCCAAATGTCATTTATTTTTCATTTTTTATGGATGTTGATGAGGTTTGTCTATCACGATCGCAAATAAAATCGTGCGGTGAGCACAAATTATCATAAAAACTCTGGTCAAAACTGACCTCTCATCATCAGAACCTAGATAGAGATCCTATGAAGCTACCAATATGTTATACTGCAGGGTAGGCCTACAAATGTACTGTCTCAGATTGTTGTTGACCAAACAGCACTCATCTGATCTATGTTTGTGACTGTCCATGCTGTGCTGTGATCTCCCCAGGCCTGTTCCACAGAGCTATCATCCAGAGTGGCTCAGCCCTGTCCAGCTGGGCCGTCAACTATCAGCCTGTCAAGTACACCCGCATGCTGGCCGAGAGGGTGGGCTGCAATGTGTTGGACACCCTGGACATGGTGTCCTGCCTGCAGAAGAAGAGTGCCAGGGAGCTGGTGGAGCAGGACATCCAGCCAGCCCGCTACCACGTAGCCTTCGGCCCCGTCATCGATGGTGACGTCATCCCCGACGATCCCGAGATCCTGATGGAGCAGGGCGAGTTCCTCAACTATGACATCATGCTGGGCGTCAACCAGGGGGAAGGGCTGCGCTTCGTGGAGACTGTGGTGGACCTAGAGGACGGCGTGTCTGGCAGCGACTTTGACTTTGCCGTGTCGGACTTCGTGGACAGCCTGTATGGCTACCCGGAGGGGAAGGATACTCTGAGGGAGACCATCAAGTTCATGTACACGGACTGGGCTGACAGGGACAACCCGGAGACCAGGAGGAAGACATTAGTCGCCCTGTTCACTGACCACCAGTGGGTGGAGCCCTCGGTGGTGACGGCTGACCTGCACGCCCGCTACGGCTCACCCACATACTTCTACGCCTTCTACCACCACTGCCAGAGCCTGATGAAGCCTGTGTGGTCGGACTCGGCCCACGGAGACGAGGTGCCCTATGTGTTTGGCATCCCCATGGTGGGAGCCACTGACCTGTTCCCGTGCAACTTCTCCAGGAACGACATCATGCTCAGCGCTGTGGTCATGACCTACTGGACCAACTTCGCTAAGAGTGGGTGAGTACAGTACCCTGAGACCTGGTCAGACTCAGACAGGATCCATTCTGTCAATCCCAAATCAGGCTTGATTGTGGTATGCTTGTATAGTAAAACTTCTTTCACATCATTTCCCATTTGTGTCCCTGTATTTGCCTAAAAAGTATTCCTAATCATATGTAAATGTGTATTGAAGCCTGTGCATAAGAACCAATATTTATAGACATACAGATGCACTTCACATGTACAGTGCCTTCAGAAAGTATTCACACCCCTTGACTTATGTAGAGTCAATAAGTATTCAATCCCTTTGTCATGGAAAGCCTAAATAAGTTCAGGAGTAAACATTTGCTTAACAAGTCACATAATAAGTTGCATGGACTCACTCTTTGTGCAATAAGAGTGTTTAATATGATTTTTGATTGACTACCTCATCTCTGTACCCCACACATACAGTACAATTATCTGTAAGGTCCCTCAGTCGAGCAGTGAATTTCAAACACAAATTCAACCACAAAGACCAGGGAGGTTTTCCAATGCCTCGCAAAGAGGGCACCTATTGGTAGATGGGAATAAATAAATAAAAAAGCAGGCATTGAATATCCCTTTGAGCATGGTGAAGTTATTAATTACACTTTGGTCGGTGTATCAACACACCTTATCACTACAAAGATACAGGCATCCTTCCTAACTCAATTGCCGGAGAGGAAGGAAACCGCTCAGGGATTTCACTATGAGGCCAATGGTGACTTTAAAACAGTTACAGAGTTTAATAGGTGTGATAGGAGAAAACTGAGGATGGATGAACAACATTGTAGTTACTCCACAATACTAACCTAATTGACAGAGTGAAAAGAAGGAAGCCTGTACATAATACAAATATTCCAAAACATGCATCCTGTTTGCAACAAGGCACTAAAGTAATACTACAAAATGTTATGTTTGAGGCAAATCCAATACAACACATTACTTATTTTCAAGCATAGTGGTGGCTGCATCATGTTATGGGTATGCTTGTAATCGTTAAGGACTGGGGAGTTTTTCAGGATGAAAAATAAACGGAATGGAGCTAAGCACAGGCAAAATCCTACAGGAAAACCTGGTTCAGTCTGCTTTCCACCAGACACTGGGAGATGAATTCACCTTTCAGCAGGACAATAACCTGAAACACAAGGATACATATACACTGGAGTTGCTTACCATGAAGACAGTGAATGTTCCTGAGTGGCCAAGTTACAGTTTTAACTTAAATCTACATGAAAATATATGGCAAGACCTGAAAATGGTTGTCTAGCAATGATCAACAACCAATTTGACAGAGCTTGAATAATTTCTTAAAGAATAATGGGCAAATGTTGCACAATCCAGGTGTGGGAAGCTCTTAGAGACTTACCCAGAAAGACACACAGCTGTAATCGCTGCCAAAGGTGCTTCTACAAAGTATTGACTCAGGGGTGTGAATATTTATGTAAATTAGATATTTGCAAACATTTCTAAAAACATGTTTCACTTTGTCATTTTTTTTTTTTTAATCCATTTTGAATTCAGGCTGTAACACAACAAAATGTGGAATAGGTCAAGGAGTATGAATGCTTTCTGAAGGTACTGTAGATGATGCTCAGTAGAAGGAGGGTTTTGAATGTGCTTCAATGAAAAATGTAGGGCAGTGTTTCCCAACTCCAGTCCTCGAGTACCCTCAACAGTACACATTTTTGTTGTAGCCCCAGACAAGCACACCTGATTCAACTTGCCAACTAATCATCAAGCCCTCAATGAGTTGAATCAGGAGTGTTTGTCTGGGTCTACAACAAAGATGTGTACTGTTGAGGGTACTCGAGGACTGGAGTTGGGAACACTGATGTAGGGAATGCTGAGCCCTTGAGGAGAGACTGACATTACATCAACCAGTCTCACAGCTCACAACTGGCCTTGACCAGCACAACTTGCCTGTTGACAACCCCCATAATGAAACAAATGAAAGCTTAATGTCTTCTATATGGGTAGTCAATCTCTGACCCCTGTCTTCACTGTTTGTTTGCAGGGATCCCAACAAGCCAGTTCCCCAGGACACCAAGTTCATCCACACCAAGGCCAACCGCTTCGAGGAGGTGGCCTGGTCCAAGTACAACCCCCATGACCAGCTGTACCTTCACATCGGCCTGAAGCCTCGCATCCGCGACCATTACCGTGCCACCAAGGTCGCTTTCTGGAAGCACCTGGTGCCCCACCTATATAACCTCCATGACATGTTCCAATACACCTCCACCACCACCAAGGTCCCTCCCCAGGACACCACCAACTCCAACGGTAAGAGGACTGGCACCACCAAGCGTCCGCCTGTCTCCACGGCCCACAGCAGTAACGGGGACGGGGAGGAGACGGGTCCTCTGATCGTGGCTAACCCTAGAGATTACTCCACTGAGCTGAGTGTCACCATCGCTGTAGGCGCCTCGCTGCTGTTCCTCAATGTGCTGGCCTTTGCCGCGCTCTACTACCGTAAGGACAAGCGCAGCCGTCAGGATGGCCACGGCGGCCCCCATCAAGCCAGTCCCCAGCGGCAGAGCAACGGCAACGAAGTGAGCCACACCACCAACACCATCGACGAGAGCCTGTCCCATCAGATGACCCAGAGCAGCCAGATGAACCAGTGTGACACCCTGCATGACCTCCATGATCTCCACGACCTCCATGACCTTCACGACCTTCACGACCCCCTGCACCTCTCCACCAACATGGACTACACCATGACCCTGCGCCGCTCACCAGACGACATCCCCCTGATGACGCCCAACAACATCACCATGATCCCCAACTCCCTGATGGGCCTTCCCAATATGCACCCCTACAGCACTTTCCCAGCCGGGTGCAACTCCACAGGCCTGCCCCACTCCCACTCCACCACCCGGGTATAGACCTAGCCTGGGACCTATGACATATAGACCATAGGGGACAGAGATTGTAGAGGTGAGTTGAGGGGCGAGCTGTGATGTACAGTAGTTTATGAATGAATACAAATCAGTAGTTGGGATGGGATGCGTGGGTAAGATAAGTTTGAATTGATGTTCATACTGCAAGAGCCATGCAAAGCTTTTTCTGGTCAAAGGGTGCAGAATCGCCGCCAATATACTACTGCCTCCTCTCTCTCACAGAGGGACGTCTATAAGCAGTCATTTTCTTATAATCATTTTCAGAAGCCTTTGTGAGCTGGTTAAAAAAGGGGGGGAAAATGCTTTTTATTTCCCATTCTTGTCTTTTGAGGGTAACATTTATTTTTTCTTACTTGTACGACCTCAGCATAATGTTTGTACAGTTGGATTTGTACGGGAAGCTTTTTCTTAATATGATATCAGTTTTGATTTTCAACAATTCTTTGTGGAACAATTAACATCTTGACTCATCACTGACTGAAAGGACATTTGTAAAAAGCAGAAAATCTGTGTTATGAAGCTATTTTATACATATTCCTCATGTTACTCACAACTTAAAAGGGTATTTTTTACTTACTGACTAAAGAATGGCTTGTTACTGTAACATTCTCTGCATAGAGAAATACTATGTTACGGTGACTGTGATGAATTGAACCTTTACTACAACATTGATTACAATTTGTAGTAAAAGTATCACATTTATCCAACAATATTTCTATTTGAATATGCACAACGTGTGTGCGTGTGTTTGTGTCTGTTTGTGTGCGCGTATGTTTGTGAGTGTGTGTGTGTGTCTGCGCACACACAAAGTGTAATGTAAAAGTGTAAATTGGTAAGACATTTGTTTGACATTTGTTTGAAGTATTGGCTTTCATCATATTAGTGTTGTACTCCGATCTATGGTCGTCTGTTTAAGTACCTTTGTTCTTTTTCAGTTAACTGTGTCTTCTTTTGCAAAACACGTTCTGCGAATGCGACTTCTGATTTGTTATAAAAAGAGAACAGCTTAAGATGGCACCTACTCTAACCAACTGATATTATTCCATTGGCTTGGCTTGTTTGTACAGAATAAACTTAGACCAGCAGTTTTTTTTATTGTTATTTGTTTATATGAATATAAAGGTATTCAGTAAGATAATTAAGTATATTAAAATTGTATGTATAAACTACCTGAACAAATCAGATTTTAAAGAGTTTTGCTTAACATATTGCAGATTGAGTAAACTGAATTTCACCCATGGGCTTCATCCCATTTACACAAAACACCGATTTTGTAGTATAACACATTTTGAAGCAAGGTTCTTTTGAATTCAGTGGGAACACTTCACAGTATTATTCTGCACATCGGTCTGAGAATTACTGTCACCTTGCTTTCTTTGATACGATCATAGAACACGATTAACTAATACTACTGTTCAATATCAATTGGCTGATTAAAGATTTTTTGGAACTGAGTTGTCTTCTTGTCAAAATCCATCAACATCTTTATTATGAGTCAGATATGGCTAGATGGCCAATCTAATTCAATTGTATCACATATCAAGATTATTTTTCAACTGAAAACAAACAGCAACATTTCAGCTTGGATTTTGAGGCATCGGGGCAATGCCGCATATATAACTGGGACCAGTTGAGATTACATAGACACAGCTTTGGCATATTATCATAATCTATGGTACATTTGTAACTGTATGATGATATTTTGGTCAAGGGCTATAAAGGGGGAAAGTCAAAGAGGATAAGAGGGTACAGGCACACTCCAAAAAGACAGTGTGGTGTTTGCTCCAGCTGCACACTGGGACCATTGTAAGGAGTGGGCTTTGACATCAACTGGGTCAGGGATGGAGGGATGAGGGAGGGGAAGGGAGGGGAGAGAGAGCAGCAGCTGGACCCAGCCCTCAATGTCCCCTTGTTAGTCTACTTAATCAATGTCAGTCCAGTGGCATTTCCATGGCCTGCCTTTTGTTTTATTCCCTTGTCTGTATATTCTTCATATCTCTCTGTGTTTTCTGAAGATGCTGCTCTGAAGAGTCAAACACACCCACCAGCCAGAACCTGCTCTCATTGACCATGTGGCGTCCTTTACGTACCTCAGACAGGCAGCACACATACTATGCAGACCATGAATAGCCTGGCTACTGAGAGAGAATGAACTGCCCATGCAGCAGCCCACATACTGATCACACATGATGATCACACATACAGTACAAAGGCCTACAGATCTGCTATCTTAATTTTACCCTGTTTCTCACAGCAGGAACATAATTCTGCAGCAACAGGAAATGTGAATTATTATGTGGATTATAATTAATGGACATTTTTTGTAGGGCATGATACATTTTTTCGTTAGAGCAAATCAAGTCTGACATTTTAAAGTGGAAATTACAAACTTTAGAAGCCTTTTTAAACCTCGAATACACTACAATTTGCATTTCTTCCTGCGCAGGAAAATTCTCTGCAACAACAGAGTGATCAAATTAAGATAGTAGATCTGTACGCATAGGAATAGGATTGTATTTAGGGAAATTGTAATAAGGTTGCAGCTCTGGATTGGTGAATACAGTATGTCATATTCAGTCTAGGAGAAATTTGGAAAAATATGGCATATGTTTTGAAATGTGAAATGATATGAAGTGCTGCTCATTGAGTTGTATCTGATTGCTAACCTTTAAAGCAAGTTATAAATCAAGGGCACCCATGCCTGTGAAGTCGATACAGCCTGTATCTATGTAATAACTTACCATAGCCAATTTATGGGGAGATATGCCACAGCAATGTTTACAATGAAGTCTACTGCAAGTCTACTGCACAGAAAAGGCTATGTGTTTGTGTTAACTTGTTATGCATGAGAGTGACTGAAAAGCAACAAGTTGACATTCCGATGGTGATGTAAACCCATTATTAGGGTCTTTGACCCCTGCACTGTCCTTAATGTTGAACCCAGGGCTGCATTAGTGATGGACAGCGGCTGAAAAGGGACTTTGTGTCTTTAAGATCTGCTGGCTCTGGGAGCTGGGGGTCTGTCTATTGTTGGTCAGACAAAAGCTTGAGTCAGATTCATATAGCAGTGGTGGGGAATAACTTCTCATATCTTCAAATCACAGTCACAAAGCCGCCAAGCTAAACCTCAATAACCCCATACCTCTCTCTGAACATGGGTAAGTGGTCATCTAATGAGTTTTTAATATTTTCTATGAATATCTTAATAGTAAAAGTCTGTGGAATATGATTAATCTACTTTTGAAATATATATATATATATATATATATATATATATATATATATATATATATATATATATATTAGAAAATATATGTGATGCTTCACTTGAGAATAATATTAATAATATGAAGGATTGATTAATATTGTGATAATTGCTGGTTTTATCGCAAGTTGACTGTATGATTGTCTGATTGTAATGTCCACATGTGGGTACCTCATGGGTTATTCATATCATAACACAACATTGGTAATATTGCAACAGTAGAAGCTGGCTGGGACTGGTACCATGACTGGTACCATTGCTCAAATATTATTCCAGGTTACACATAGATAATATTGTAGACTAAATAGTCCATTTTGAACGTTTTAGATAAGCTAAGCTTATTGAAACTCATTACTCAAACTTGTTATTGAAATTCCTTGAACATAAATGTTATTCAAATCAATTCAGGATCATCATCTAATCAATGATGTTAAAATAAAAACAAACCACCTCTCACACAGCTAATATCTGTAAAATATTTTCTAAAAGGTGGATTGAACTCATTGGGGTTCAGAGAGACAGAGGACCAGCGCAGGCTGCTGTCAGGGAGAGGTCATGCGAGGTCGATCATGTCAAAGGCTCTCACACTTCCACTCTTGTCCAGGGCATAATTAGCAAATTTGCATGGAATCCTTTGTTACACGCCGTCCGTTTGACTCTGGAGTCAGTTTAAGTCGACCAACTATTTTAAGTCGATCAACTATTCCTCCTTCATTACTATTTCTTCAAACAAAATAGTTACTCTGCACTACAGTTTATACAGATTTAGCATGATTTAAGGACTTGGTTTGGTATGATCCTTCAGTGCATGCCAGTGGTATCTCTGCTGGGATTTTATTCATAGGTTATCATGGCATTTCAAAGCACAGCTGAAGAGGGGGCGTCTGCAGCCAATGTAATTTCCAGGGACTCAAACAACTTCCCAGCTGTTGCTGTTTTTCTTTAAATGGCAGTTTATTTCATTCATATACTTTGTTCCTTCCTACCCACTAAAATCACAGAAACCATAAGATTACAGGAACGTTTAGTCAGTGTGCAACAGTTGCTTCAGCTCAGTCATCTATTATGTATGATCATGACAGTGTTTGCCATTCCCGAATGGGGTTTGTAGATAATACAACTTTGATGAGCGACTTAGTTGTTGTTGTAAAGATATTTCAGTTCCCCCCACCCATTCATTGTGCTTCCTCCCACCCTTGAACAGTTGAACCGCAGTCCCCACCCCCTACTGACATAGACACTCATTCGGTGCCATGGTACAAGTCCCAACCAGCTGTAGCTGTGGGCTGGGCTGGGCGAATAGTAATGATGTTGCCAGCGGTACTGTGAGAATCCTGGTGGTGGAGATACTCCCCTGACCCCCGCCCCACCTGCCCAGGCGCCCATGGCTTGTTTATTAGATTGTTGGGTTGTGTGTGTGTGTGTGTGTGTGTTTGTTTTGTGTGTGTGAGGTGGTGCTAGTGTGGTCTTTGTTTGTTTGACATTGCTGGCCTTTGTTCTCCTCCACTCCTAGCTAAGACAAAGGGCACTGTGTCTCCACAAAGACAGGCTCTCTCTATAGGCCCCTGGAGCCCATCCTTCAGTGCCCTCTCCTCTCTCTCCTCTCTTGGTGACGCCTGTGGTGGCGGGTGGTGGTGAAAGAGGGTTGGACTCTGGAGAGTAGAGGGGCTGAACTGTGAGGCGTTGGCAGGAGCTGAGGAGCTTTTACACACGGATGAAACCAGTGCAGAGAGCTGTTTTTTAGTTGCAATATCCTGCAGAAGAGCCTTTAGCATCACTGGTTCATAAACCCTTTGCTTGTTGTTGAGGAGCACAAGAACGAAAGCAGCAAATGTTTCCGGTCAGACAGCCTTGGCTTTGCAAAGCCCTAGGTGCATCTCTCTCTCTGATTCCTATACCAATACAGCCATTAACAGTCTGGATGTTTCCTATCTGCTTCCCCAGCACAGCTTACATTGGAGGAAGTGTATGAGAGTGCTGTGAAGTCATGGGCGCTTTAACGTTACTTTGTTGGATACGCTGCTCTGCTGCACTTGGTTTCGCTGTTGTGTTTCGCTAAAATGTTTCTGTTGCTTTCATTTCTGTTGATGGAAGTTGTTGGTGGATGTTGATGGATTTTCGGCAGAAACAGTGGGGTCTTTCTTTTCAACAGCTCCCCAAGTAGGGTGACTGACAGGTGTCTGGACTGTGGCGTAGATGTGCTGTGTGTTGGTGTGTGCGGTGTGTGCCGCCTGTGTGTTGATGTATTATGCCCCCTCACCAGGTTGTTATGATTCCTGTATCCGCTGCCTGGGGGCAGTGCCCTACCCGTCCCTGGTGGCCACTCTGCTCTGCTTCACCGGCATGGCGCTGTTCTGTGGCTGCGGGCACGAGGCACTGGCCAACACCGAGGTGCTCGCCGAGACTTACTTCGCTCGTAACATACAAGACTACGTTGTCCTGGCGTCGTTGTGAGTGGTCCTTTTAATTGATGAGTATAATTTTTTCTTCCTAGTAAGTGTTTGTATTTGTAGATAGGTTGTGCAAATCAAGCAACAGAAATGTAAAGACTCTTACAGGAGTAGTAGTAGTAGTAGTAGTAGTAGTAGTAATAGTGGTAGTAGTAGTAGTAGTAGTAGTAGTAGTAGTAGTAGTACCCCTTCCTTTAGGTAGGTTGAGAGCAGCCACCTCTCAACAGCACATTTTGTCACCATGGATCTCTGACCTTTCCTTATTATGACCTGTCCTTGTCTCCCAGTATCAAGTACTTCCAGTACGTGATCTATGGCCTGGCCTCTTTCTTCTTCCTTTACTGCATCCTGCTGCTGGCCGAGGGATTCTACACTACCAGCGCCGTCAAGCAGACCTTCGGAGAGTTCCGGAGCACCAGATGTGGCCGCTGCCTTAGTCTGACGGTGAGTGGGGGGGGGGGGGGGGGGGGGGATGACGGCACCTCGCTGTTAGGTTGCTAAAATAATATTGACACTATAGCCTACTGTACTCTAGCTTCTAATCCACCCACAGCAATGGAGGTTGAAAAACAATCCATAAACAATTCATAGAGTAGTTAATTATCCATCAGTTAATTATCCATGAATCCCTCATGTATTATGCTTCGGGGATATTAGGCTCATGTTAGAGTATTTACCCTCTGTGGTGGTGTATTTCTGCAGTAATTAGGCCTCATGGGACATGTTGCGTCACATCCTGATTCCCTGGAGTTTGACCAATAACTTCCTGTGACCTCCTGCTCTGCTTCCTGCTCCACAGTTCATCATAGTGACATACATCCTGGCAGTGATCTGGCTGGCGGTGTTTGCCTTTACAGCCATACCCGTCTTCTTCTTCTTCAACATGGCACAGACCTGCCATACCATCAACATCCTGGCTGAGACGACACCCAGCATCAACCAGCATGGCTGGATCTGCATGGATGCCCGGCAGTATGGTACGTTTAGCTTATGATGGGCCCAGCCGTGCCACCTTATGTTATTTTCTTTTTAATTCATTTTTTACATTTGAAATGTACTGTATTTCATTTCACATTAATGAGACAAGCTTCGCTTTAGGACTACTGCCTTGGAATGCAATGCCAGGGAAGGTTTGTGGAATGACCTTGGCATCCATTTGCAAAACAAAAGAGGTGAGTTGGTGGTAGCTCTGTCTGACAGTAAAACTACTTTGAAAGAATGAGTATGTTCCTGGATTATGTAACCTTTAAACACACAAAACACACAGCTAAATGATCATTCTGCATAGCAAATCAATGTACAGTACATGCACTCTATAAGACCCCTTTTTATAATGTGTACTAATGATTTTGATCATATTTGCTTGTTTTGTCTCTGCAGTTCTTCATCACCTACGACCTGTACATCGCTGCCTTTGCTGGTGCAGGGATCGCTCTCTTGGCTCTGGTGAGTAGAATGTCCACTCAGAGACTGATGAGTCTATGGGGTCTGTCAACCTCTTGGTTTAAGTTCAGAGTATGATTTGATGGTAACACTTTATAATAGCTATCCTTTATAAACCATTTATAAATCATTAGTAAATAAATAAACTATTAGCAAATTATTAATAGTTAATTTTCTGTATATTACTAGTAACTATAGTAGTTAAACATTACAAAAAGCATTATGTTTAACTAATGTAGTTACTAATTATGTACTAATCATTTAAAAAGATTTATAAATCATTTGATAATATTTAGTTCATCATTTATAAATGGCTTATAAAGGATAGTTATTATAAAGTGTTACTGACTTGATTTTGCAGCTCCATTTGGCTTAGTTTAAGGCAAATACCAAAGAGGTATGCGGTTAATTTGAGGCTCTTTGGCAGAGAAGAATAATAACAGAGAAATATAAAAAGTTATCATACTGTCCATCAGCACAGTAGCTGTCTTTATTAATTTCAACAATGATTAAGATGACAAGACCAGCCAGGTCATAAGAGAAAAGCTCACCAATAGAGAACAGACTTATATAGGCCTACTGTAGGGGCATACAGTGGAAGTGATCAATGTGTGCACAAAGAGAGATCAGCTTGTGAGGCTATTGAATAATTGTGTAATCTGAATGAAGCTGCACTTTTGGGAAAACATTTTTTGGAGTATTATTTTTATTTTTATATAGTTTCTCTTTTGTCCCACTCTTCATCTTTCTCTCTAGTTTATGTATGTGGTAGCCACCACATATAACTATGCAGTCCTGCGGTTCCTGGGCAGGAAAGGGCTACGCTGTTAAAAACTGTGCCCTTTCACATCTCCATCACCCCATAGACTGGGCCTGAGGGGGGCAGTTACACATCACACCACTGAACTCCATCCATCCCCTGTGAGACACACCTGCAACCTGGATCCCCTACCTACTGCTGGCTGCTTCCCTGAAGGGCTCCAATTACTGACACATGGTTCATCTGACCATCTGGTTTATCACCTCAGCCTAGCCTCAGAGCCATACGAAACATACTTGTATTTCTGAGCACCTCCAAGGCGTATGATACCTACTAATTGTCTAGTTACTTTAGACAGAAACGAAAGTAGGGAGGTTGGTCGAGGAGGATGGGTCGGCGTAATCCGTGACTCTATGATATTGTAGGACCGCTATTCCATTCATAATGTAACGTAATGTAACGTAATATATCATACTAAATGGAGTGTCACTGATTTACGTACAGAATAATACAGATTGCCTTAAGACCACATTGGGTTGTTATAACTAAGCCCCTCCCCCTGCTCACCAGTCTTATACCTTTGGTTCTCAGTCCAGGAGGATGACTCTCTGATGTCTGTTGCTAATTTTCACATTGGATGTAGCGTCTCTGGTTTTGGTTCACACATTTTTTATAAAGTGTCAGATTGTGGTCTCTATATAGCTCTCTAAATCTGAATGACTTGGAGAGATGGCTGCTCTCAATGCTAATCAGAACTAAGAAACCGACCCCAGTCGCCTTGCTTACTGATATGTATATAGATTGTGAACATGATCTAGCTGCTGTTGCTTTAGATTGTGTTAGTAAATGAGCTGTCCATTACTGTAACTAGAGCAAACAGCGGAATGTGCCAAAGTTCTCTACAACGCTCAAGTGAAATGTGGGAGTGTAATGTGGGAGTCTCTCTTGTCTAAGTGTGTCAAAGCACTTAAGGCAGCTTTTTTGCACTCACTCTTGATGTAGTACCTATTTTTGTCCTTTTGACTGATTACTGTGTGTGGGGTGCAAGGAAACCCAATTCAATGGAGGTGCTAAAGGTGTAAGCTAAATATGATACTCCGTTTTCATTCTCCATATTTATTAATGCTCTCTGCTTTTACATTTACATTACATTTTAGTCATTTAGCAGACGCTCTTATCCAGAGCGACTTACAGTTAGCACATACATTATTTTATCGAACCCACAACCCTGGCGTTGCAAACGCCATGCTCTACCAACTGAGCTACATCCCCTGCCGGCCATTCCCTCCCCTACCCTGGACGACGCTGGGCCAATTGTGCGCCGCCCCATGGGTCTCCCGGTTGCGGCCGGCTACGACAGAGCCTGGATTCGAACCAGGATCTCTAGTGGCACAGCTAGCACTGCGATGCAGTGCCTTAGACCACTGCGCCACTCGGGAGGTAAACTGTAGTGTAAACTGTGGTGTTTGATTTCCAGGTGATTTTTGTCTGGTGAGTGGCCTGCTATGCTATTTACTGAATTGGGTGTGTATATAATGCTGTGTTGAATTGATTAGCCATTAAAATGTATCAAAGCCTTTGAACTCAAGGTATTAAGATAGTGTGCTTCATTTCATTTCATTGTCATACAAATGTCAAATGGTACAACAACATTTCCAGTGAGGTTGTCCACATGGGCAATATAATGCACAACAACAAACAACAAGTCAATTGATATTAGAAGATAATTCACAGTTATGTTGACATAAATAATGGAAACTATCATAAATCATTTAGATATGTTGTCTCATTACCGATATACATGCCCTCCTCATGGTGAAAACACAAGTAAATGGTGAAAAACAAATTATTTGTTTACAGAAAAAAGTCCTATATTCACAAAAAATGACATTCAGTGTCAGGGAAGGAGAACTGATGATAACTCTGGAAATATAACACATCTTACAAAAAACTATTCTAACAATGTTAGCAAGTAATCTGTCAAAATGGTTGTTTTGGTGACAGGGATGTTCCAGGGATGACACTGCTGTGCCCTCTCTGTCAAGGTGATGAGAAGCCCTGGGGCCTACATGGCTTTAGTAAAGCAGCCATCACAGTGGATCACTCTCCCATGCACGAACATGGCGGTCGTCATGTCCCCCAAGGCCTTACTGCACAACCCGCACTGGAAAAAGGAAATATTCCCCTCAGTATGGTGAGCAAGAGAGAGAGAGAGAGAGAGAGAGAGAGAGAGAGAGAGAGAGAGAGAGAGAGAGAGAGAGAGAGAGAGAGAGAGAGAGAGAGAGAGAGAGAGAGAGAGAGAGAGAGAGACAGAGACAGAGAGACAGAGACAGAGAGACAGAGAGAGAGAGGACTAACATATCACCAAATAACAAGTTTCATAATGTTCGGTTCATTTTTTAACATTGAGGGTTGGGGTGCTATACCTTAAAACAGTCTGGGTGGCTGTAGATTTGTGGGTAATTGATTGTGATCTTGATATTTCCATCAATTGACTTGTCACAGTATGAACAAATGGCTTTGCCATCCCTGCAGGGGAGAGGGGAAGTTCATCGCTATCGAGTACGGTCAAAACATCTCTTTCTAAGTATAGAAAATACACTATAACCTTTGGCATGGCTAAAACAGACTTGATTGTTATCAATTGGCACAAAATAAGTTTACTTTTATGAGGAGAAATGGCCATCCTGCAATGTGCAGTATTATGCTGGTGTAATTATTGGTGTAATAAAGAAAATCTGTCTTTCCCTTTCTCATAGTAAAGGTGCGCTCCTTTTAGGCCTACTGAACATGGACAGAATAACAACACTTACTTGGTGTGACGAAATTCATGGACTATCTGATGCTGTTGTTCAGCATCCTCCTGTTGCTGAATGCTGAAACAATATAGAAACAAATAGACATGGAAATTGCACTGCCCAAATGTAGAAAATGTACATACTATTCGGGTGTCTTGCTGCATTACTACTGTATGTATTGACTGTATGTATGTATGTATCGAATAACTTAAAAGGGTAAATGTACATTTGAAATGTGTGCTTGTCTACTGTAGTGATTAACTTATCCGCTCAAATGACTTTAAAATAATTGTATTGTCTCAGAATCCTCTAATAGGAAAAGATTAGGACAACTGATTATGAGGGCAGACTCACAGTGATGGACATTGACCCCCACAGGCGGATGGTATAGGTTCTGATGCAGGTGCTATTACATTATCATCTGCCACAACTTCAGCAGCAGGTTGCTCCACAGGCTCCACGTCTAATGCCTTCTTAAGTTCAATAGCAGCTGGTGATTCCTGAACAACTTCAACAGCTGCTTCAGCCACAGGTTCAACTTCAGCTTCAATGATGGGTTCAGGTGTTGACTCCTTCACAACCTCGACAACAGGCACAACATCAGGCTCAATAGATGATTTAACAACAGCTTCAACAGCAGGCTCAACTATAGGCTCAACAGCAAGCTTGACGGCCGATTCCACTACGAGTTCAACTACAGCCTCAGCCACAGGCTTAGCCTCAGCCACAGGCTCTACTACAGGTTCAACTGCAGCCACAGCTTCAGCTACAAGTTCAACTGTAGTCACAGGCTCAACTACAGGTTTAACTGCAGCCACAGGCTCAACTACGGGTTTAACTGCAGCCACAGGCTCAACTACAGGTTTAACTGCAGCCACAGGCTCAACTACAGGTTTAACTGCAGCCACAGGCTCAACTACAGGTTTAACTGCAGCCACAGGCTCAACTACAGGTTTAACTGCAGCCACAGGCTCAACAACAGGTTTAACTGCAGCCACAGGCTCAACTACAGGTTTAACTGCAGCCACAGGCTCAACAACAGGTTTAACTGCAGCCACAGGCTCAACTACAGGTTTAACTGCAGCCACAGGCTCTACTACATGTTCAACTGCAGCCACAGCTTTAGCTACAAGTTCAACTGTAGCCACAGGCTCAACTACAGGTTTAACTGCAGCCACAGGCTCAACTACGGGTTTAACTGCAGCCACAGGCTCAACTACGGGTTTAACTGCAGCCACAGGCTCAACTACGGGTTTAACTGCAGCCACAGGCTCAACTACGGGTTTAACTGCAGCCACAGGCTCAACTACGGGTTTAACTGCAGCCACAGGCTCAACTACGGGTTTAACTGCAGCCACAGGCTCAACTACAGGTTTAACTGCAGCCACAGGCTCAACAACAGGTTTAACTGCAGCCACAGGCTCAACTACAGGTTTAACTGCAGCCACAGGCTCAACAACAGGTTTAACTGCAGCCACAGGCTCAACTACAGGTTTAACTGCAGCCACAGGCTCTACTACATGTTCAACTGCAGCCACAGCTTTAGCTACAAGTTCAACTGTAGCCACAGGCTCAACTACAGGTTTAACTGCAGCCACAGGCTCAACTACGGGTTTAACTGCAGCCACAGGCTCAACTACGGGTTTAACTGCAGCCACAGGCTCAACTACGGGTTTAACTGCAGCCACAGGCTCAACTACGGGTTTAACTGCAGCCACAGGCTCAACTACGGGTTTAACTGCAGCCACAGGCTCAACTACGGGTTTAACTGCAGCCACAGGCTCAACTACGGGTTTAACTGCAGCCACAGGCTCAACTACGGGTTTAACTGCAGCCACAGGCTCAACTACGGGTTTAACTGCAGCCACAGGCTCAACTACGGGTTTAACTGCAGCCACAGGCTCAACTACGGGTTTAACTGCAGCCACAGGCTCAACTACAGGTTTAACTGCAGCCACAGGCTCAACTACAGGTTTAACTGCAGCCACAGGCTCAACTACAGGTTTAACTGCAGCCACAGGCTCAACTACAGGTTTAACTGCAGCCACAGGCTCAACTACAGGTTTAACTGCAGCCACAGGCTCAACTACAGGTTTAACTGCAGCCACAGGTTTAACTACAGGTTTAACTGCAGCCACAGGCTCAACTACAGGTTTAACTGCAGACACAGGCTCAACTACAGGTTCAACTGCAGCCACAGGCTTAACTACACGTTCAACTGCAGCCACAGCCGCTGGCCTAACTGCAGGTTCTTCAGAAACACTGTCAACAGGTTTCGCTACAGGTTCTAAGACTGATTCTACAACAGCCTCTTCTGATTGAACTCCACTTGCTGGTTCCACTGTGGGTTCCACGGTGGGTTCTGCAGTGAGTTCTGCAATGAGTTCTCCAACAGCTTCTTCCACAAATTCAGGTTCCTCAGTTGTTGGCTCAGAGGGCTCTGCTGTCTCTGGTTGGTCAGCAGGTGCATCCAAAGATTTTCCAGCTGCTGGTTCATCCACAGATTCCTCCATCGCAGGTTGTTCCAAAGGTTTCTCAAGAGATTTGTCTTCTAATTCTGCTGTTGGTGGATCCACTGACTCCTCCACAGCTTCTGACAGCTCCTCAGGCCTACTGTAAATCAGTCACACAGAAGTAGCACTTAAATACGCTTCTGTCAGTAACTGATTCAAGCACCCATTATACTACAGTGGGGAAAAAAAGTATTTAGTCAGCCACCAATTGTGCAAGTTCTCCCACTTAAAAAGATGAGAGAGGCCTGTAATTTTCATCATAGGTACACGTCAACTATGACAGACAAAATGAGAAAATGTATTTGCAAATTATGGTGGAAAATAAGTATTTGGTCAATAACAAAAGTTACTCAATACTTTGTTATATACCCTTTGTTGGCAATGACACAGGTCAAACGTTTTCTGTAAGTCTTCACAAGGTTTTCACACACTGTTGCTGGTATTTTGGCCCATTCCTCCATGCAGATCTCCTCTAGAGCAGTGATGTTTTGGGGCTGTCGCTGGGCAACACGGACTTTCAACTCCCTCCAAAGATTTTCTATAGGGTTGAGATCTGGAGACTGGCTAGGCCACTCCAGGACCTTGAAATGCTTCTTACGAAGCCACGCCCGGGCGGTGTGTTTGGGATCATTGTCATGCTGAAAGACCCAGCCACGTTTCATCTTCAATGCCCTTGCTGATGGAAGGAGGTTTTCACTCAAAATCTCACGATACATTCATTCTTTCCTTTACACGGATCAGTCGTCCTGGTCCCTTTGCAGAAAAACAGCCCCAAAGCATGATGTTTCCACCCCCATGCTTCACAGTAGGTATGGTGTTCTTTGGATGCAACTCAGCATTCTTTGTCCTCCAAACACGACGAGTTGAGTTTTTACCAAAAAGTTATATTTTGGTTTCATCTGACCATATGACATTCTCCCAATCCTCTTCTGGATCATTCAAATGTACTCTAGCAAACTTCAGACGGGCCTGGACATGTACTGGCTTAAGCAGGGGGACACGTCTGGCACTGCAGGATTTGAGTCCCTGGCGGCGTAGTGTGTTACTGATGGTAGGCTTTGTTACTTTGGTCCCAGCTCTCTGCAGGTCATGTTGTGGTTGTGATCATTTTGACCCCACGGGGTGAGATCTTGCGTGGAGCCCCAGATCGAGGGAGATTATCAGTGGTCTTGTATGTCTTCCATTTCCTAATAATTGCTCCCACAGTTGATTTCTTCAAACCAAGCTGCTTACCTATTGCAGATTCAGTCTTCCCAGCCTGATGCAGGTCTACAATTTTGTTTCTGGTGTCCTTTGACAGCTCTTTCGTCTTGGCCATAGTGGAGTTTGGAGTGTGACTGTTTGAGGTTGTGGACAGGTGTCTTTTATACTGATAACAAGTTCAAACAGGTGCCATTAATACAGGTAACGAGTGGAGGACAGAGGAGACTCTTAAAGAAGAAGTTACAGGTCTGTGAGAGCCAGAAATCTTGCTTGTTTGTAGGTGACCAAATACTTATTTTCCACCATAATTTGCAAATAAATTCATTAAAAATCCTACAATGTGATTTTCTGGATTTTTTTCTCTCAATTTGTCTGTCATAGTTGACATGTACCTATGATGAAGATTACAGGCCTCTCTCATCTTTTTAAGTGGGAGAACTTGCACAATTGGTGGCTGACTAAATACTTTTTTCCCCCACTGTACTTCTGACAGGGTGAACAACAGCACCTGCCATCTATATTTCTCCACAATTACAGTGGGGAGAACAAGTATTTGACACACTGACGATTTTGCAGGTTTTCCTACTTACAAAGCATGTAGAGATCTGTAATGTTTATCATAGGTACACTTCAACTGTGAGAGACGGAATCTAAAACAAAAATCCAGAAAATCACATTGTATGATTTTTAAGTAATTAATTTGCTTTTTATTGCATGACATAAGTATTTGATACATCAGAAAAGCAGAACTTAATATTTGGTATTTGTTTGCAATTACAGAGATCATACGTTTCCTGTAAGTCTTGACCAGGTTTGCACACACTGCAGCAGGGATTTTGGCCCACTCCTCCATACAGACCTTCTCCAGATCCTTCAGGTTTCGGGGCTGTCGCTGGGCAATACAGACTTTCAGCTCCCTACAAAGATTTTCTATTGGGTTCAGGTCTGGAGACTGGCAAGGCCACTCCAGGACCTTGAGATGCTTCTTACGGAGCCACTCCTTAGTTGCCCTGGCTCTGTATTTCGGGTTGTTGTCATGCTGGAAGACCCAGCCACGACCCATCTTCAATGCTCTTACTGAGGGAAGGCGGTTGTTGGCCAAGATCTCGCGATACATGACCCCATCCATCCTCCCCTCAATACGGTGCAGTCGTCCTGTCCCCTTTGCAGAAAAGCATCCCCAAAGAATGATGTTTCCACCTCCATGCTTCACGGTTGGGATGGTGTTCTTGGGGTTGTACTCATCTTTCTTCTTCCTCCAAACACGGCGAGTGGAGTTTAGACCAAAAAGCTAAATTTTTGTCTCATCAGACCACATGACCTTCTCCCATTCCTCCTCTGGATCATCCAGATGGTCATTGGCAAACTTCAGACGGGCCTACACATGCGCTGGCTTGAGCAGGGTGACCTTGCGTGCGCTGCAGGATTTTAATCCATGACGGCGTAGTGTGTTACTAATGGTTTTCTTTGAGACTGTGGTCCCAGCTCTCTTCAGGTCATTGACCAGGTCCTGCCATGTAGTTATGGGCTGATCCCTCACCTTCCTCATGATCATTGATGCCCCACGAGGTGAGATCTTACATGGAGCCCCAGACCGAGGATGATTGACCGTCATCTTGAACTTCTTCCATTTTCAAATAATTGCGCCAACAGTTGTTGCCTTCTCACCAAGCTGCTTGTCTATTGTCCTGTAGCCCATCACAGCCTTGTGCAGGTCTACAATTTTATCCCTGATGTCCTTACACAGCTCTCTGGTCTTGGCCATTGTGGAGAGGTTTGAGTCTGTTTGATTGAGTGTGTGGACAGGTGTCTTTTATACAGGTAACGAGTTCAAACAGGTGCAGTTAATACAGGTAATGAGTGGAGAACAGGAGGGCTTCTTAAAGAAAAACTAACAGGTCTGTGAGAGCCGGAATTCTTACTGGTTGGTAGGTGATCAAATACTTATGTCATGCAATAAAATGCAAATTAATTACTTAAAAATCATACAATGTGATTTTCTGGATTTTTGTTTTAGATTCCGTCTCTCACAGTTGAAGTGTACCTATGATAAAAATTACAGACCTCTACATGCTTTGTAAGTAGGAAAACCTGCAAAATCGGCAGTGTATCAAATACTTGTTCTCCCCACTGTATATTCTAATTGAGCACAAAATCTATGATTGCATAACACAAAGGTAAGGTAACATTCATTTTAATGGAGCTGGGGATGTGCTTGGCTACTCCATAGTGAATACATTAACCCCTTACACTCCTAGGAAATGGCCTATATGGCTAGGGCTAGATTGAAATGTTTTTTACAGAAGAAATATGGAAAGTATACTGAACAAAAATATAAAACGCAACGATTTAAAAGATTTTACTGAGTTACAGTTCATAGAAGGAAATCAGTCAATTGAAATAAATAAATTAGGCCCTAATCTATGGATTTCACATGACTGGGCAGGGGCACAGCCATTGGGAGCCAGGTCCACCCACTGGGGAGCCAGGCCCAGCCAATCAGAATGAGTTTCTCCCCACAAAATTGCCAACATGACTAGCTAAATTATAATATACAATCTTACAGTGTTAGGCTTTCACTAGCAGATCATAATTTTGGTGCGCATGGAATGGAGTCATGACTCGTGAGTGCATTCAGATGCGTGGTCCCCTTAACATTTTCTTCACAATACAACAAACATGGGCTCAATCTGTTAAGGACAACCCAGGGTATAATGCCATGTCATCTTGTAACTGTAGTTCAAAACATAGTGATCATAAACGTTGACTCTGTATATTACAGAGTTTTATGATATGGAAATGTGAAGTGCACATTTGGACTCACGGGTGTTTGGCTTGCTTGTATGACATCAAAGCGGTATTTATTCTAATCCTCATCGTCTCATCTTTCAAAATACATTTAGTCCTCGTAATTTACAGCATTTCCCTCACTGAGACAACAAAACATTTGCAAAAGTTGCCCAATTAGCAGGAGGGATGGGAGACATTGGGCTCTGACGTTATGAATAGTATGTTACTGTACAGCCACTGCGTTCCAATTTAGGCACTTATCAGTGTCCAAATCTACAATTTTCAACCCATATACGGGTACGAGTGTAAAGGGCTACAGATAGGTTGATGTTATGTCCCAGGGTGATGGAAGGATACTCACTTAGTCTCAGTTGGTACCTCTGGAGCAGGTGCAACATCAGTTGGAGTGGGTGCAATTTCACCATTTATATCACTGAAAAACATGAAAAGAGAGAGAGGAGGGCATGAAATAAGCAGAAACATAAGTGAATTGGATCTGGCCAGACAGACAGACAGACAGATGGAGAGAGAGAGAAAGCGAGAGAGTGAGTGCGAGAGAGAGAGAGAGAGAGAGAGAGAAAGTATATTTTCTATCAGGAAATTACCTTATAGGGAAATGTGACTGGCTGATTTTGAATGGTGGGGGGCTCGTTGGGGAATCCAGAGATCTAAAAGGCAAGAGAAAAGACTAAACAGAGCTAAACAAAGGCACATATTTACACAACGATACTGGACAAAGATATACAGTATGCTATGAATATTTTACAAGTAAAAATACTCAGTTACTGAGTTTTTTGGGTAGATCAAAAAAAAATGTTTTGTGCAAATATACATACATACAGTGGGGGAAAAAAGTATTTAGTCAGCCACCAATTGTGCAAGTTCTCCCACTTAAAAAGATGAGAGAGGCCTGTAACTTTCATCATAGGTACACGTCAACTATGACAGACAAATTGAGGGAAAAAAATCCAGAAAATCACATTGTAGGATTTTTAATGAATTTATTT